TCGTTTTCGTCAGCAAGAAGGTAATGGTTTCAATGTTCTAGAACTGGTGTAATTATAATTGATTATTTTGAAACAAGTCAGACCATGAAATCCGATGAATAGTGTACCTTGCTACATTGTTTACGCGAAGACATAAAAGAAATACATCCAGGAATGCTCAGAAGAAATCCCTGTTTCATCAAGATTATGCTTATCTGTCTTACACGTCTGTACTACCAATAATTGAAATTCACAACTATGATATGGCTTTGAATTGTTACCGCATCCGCCTTATTCACCTAATCTGGTATCATCCAACTTCTTCTAATTTCCTAACTCAAAAAAGCATTTGGAAAATCAAAAATTTTCGACAAACAAACGCGGTCAAAACAGCAGAAGACGCGCATTTTGACTCTCAAAGAAATTTCTTTTTCAACGGTCTAAAAGCTTTAAAGGAGAAGTGGCAGAAGTGCATTGAACTTGATAGTGATTAGATTGATAGAGATAGAGATTAGTACAAAAATGAAAATATAATTTATTTTATATGAGTTTATTTTCTTGATTAAGTTAAATACTTTACAACCCACCCTCGTACATATAAATGTATCCAGGTGATGGTATGATACGAATTACATAAAATTCTACATTCAGTAACTAATCAAATATACTTAATAATAAACCAATTTTTTATATAGTTATGAGACAAAATATTAAGTATATTTATAGGTGGGTACTGTTTCAATTTACGGCATTGTCAAGCCACACCAAATATTTATTCTGCAATTACGTGTACCTCTAAGTGCTCTTTAGCAGACAAAGTATAAAGTACAAACAAAGGCTGTTATATTATATTCTCGACTTCGTTTGCGTAGATGTTGTTTATAATCTAATCCTCGAAATTAGATTCATTTCAGTCATTAAATTAATTTGCTCACTTTTGAACGTAGGTTTCCCGCTTATATTGCGATAAGGAATTGTCACACATCCAATGAATACACACATTGCTTATAACGAATTTTAATTTTTTGCCCTATTGGTTGGGGTTTAATGCGTTTGCTTGTACGGAGTTACCAGTCGAGAACCTTTTTCCCTGTCGTTTCCCCGAGTTATGTGAGCGGCTTATTGGCTGTTAAACTATTCTTGCTTACATGGATCATTTTTATTATTTTGTTTTTCGGTTTGAAGGGTAGGATATGGAAGTGAAATAATAAAGTATGAAGGCATCATCTAACATCTTAGTCATCAGGAATGGCAACGCATAGGGGATATCATGGGCGAAATATTCTGTTATGTCCATGGTACTGCTCATGTCTATAGGCGACGATTTTCATTTTTCATTAAGTGGGTCGTCAGTTTACTTACCATTCTAAGTGACATAAAAAATCTTATCGTTATTTTAATTGACATTAAAATCTGTTCTACTATTTTACTGTAAGCTTTCAAACCTAACTTTAGACTCTTTTGGCCGCACCCTAAATATAAGAGAACAACCGAGAATTATGGCTGGTAAGACATCATTAAAACTTAATATGAGAAATCAGTTTAAGGTACGATAATAAATATACTTGAAGAAGATAAAAACCCTTAAAATTAATAAAAAAAAGTTAATACCATTAATTAATAACATTAATACTTAGCCGAGAGAATTTCTGCAAGGAATAACAAATTTGTACCAAGTAGCAACTTGAATAACACCATACCTACAAACTTCTTAAACTTTTATAATCTTTCAACTTTAATATTTAGATACTAGTTTATGCTAATGAAGTAGTGTTCCTTATTGCTGGAAGAAGCGTTCTTGAATAGCTTCCAACTTCACTTGCATAATGTAATCTTCATACCATTCTTGTTTGTAATAATTTCTAGTTCGTAAACATTCATAAGTATAAAAAATAATAACTGTTTTCAGTATATTATATTCACGCAATGTTTTCATCGATTTTGTAAAAGATGTTTACTTTCTGGATTTCATTTTACTGTATTTTATATTAAATAAACTAACATTGAAAAATATTTTCTTTATCAAAAATAAATATATATTTATATATATATATAGTTAGGAAAAATATAAATATAATAAATTATTATCGTACTATTTATTGTAAGGCTAAGTGTCACATAATCGTTAGTCTAGCTGTCTAATTAGACAATGATATCATATGAGTATTTACATGCCAAATTTATAAATTTTGCAATATGTTCGAAGCTGTTCAAAGTTCTCAGTAAAAGTAGTTCTATTTTACTAGCTGCTTTTTATATACACTTCAACAGTAAAACAATTTTATAAAAAAATATTATGCAGATTGCAGTATATGTACTAGATTAACACATAAATACATATTTTATATATCTACAGCAAAGAGATACAACTAGTATTTATTATAAAGTGTACCCCATATTAACTCTACCATCTGCACTGGTTTTGTGTTAAGTTCGGTCGTTGAACTTGTAACTTACCAACAAACAGGTGCTCGGTAAGTGCAGTCGCTAACTTACTCAGCTAACATGTACCGTCATGGCTACGCCTATCGTATGTACCGTTTTCTATTGATTAACCGTACATTATTGTCTTCAAAAGGTAAGTAAAAAATAGCATCTATTTATCACTAATATAAATAACATTATACTTTTAAGCGACTTCCAAAATAATGTCTGTATTTTTTTTTTTTGTATTTTGTATATGTTGCTTTTACAATGCTTACATTGCTACTAGTCACAAAAATAATTTCACGTTTAAATCAATATACACTTGAAAGGTATGGGTAGGAAAGGGATGTTGTTTAAAGAGAGGATTTAATTTTTTACGGCATGTGTAAATGATTTCATTAATTCTAGACCGATTACGACAATAAAGTTGTTTATACAAAATCTTAAGCGAGTAGGTAAGTAAGTATCGTTAGGTGCTATCATGACAACAGTATAAAATAAATATAACGACTATATACTATCAAAAACCTGCGAAAAACTTGGTCACGTCTATTTGTACGTATTAATTTACAGAATCTTTAAAATAGAATCATATCTATATATACATAGCTTATATAAATTATATATATATTAATAGGTCTTTAGATAAATGTTTTTACTTTACTTCATGTATAGCAAATTTGAAGATTGAGCTGTTAAGGCGCCAAGAGGAAACAAAGAAACAAACTAAATTTTACACGTATAATATTATAAAAGATGGAGTAGATATCAACTCAGATTCTTTTTGCGTTTTCAAAGTATATGAAGCTTTGAACTTTATTATTTGATATTGTCAAGTTCAGGTTTTGATACCTCTAGTCTAGCCGAATAAGAGTCTTAATGGATCTGCAAACTGATTCCAAATGGGTTAAATTATTCTCATTTCGAGACACTGAAAGATTCTAGTTAACAGTTATAATATTATTGTTTATTGACTCTATGCTTCCATTAATATAAAATTATATATATACAATACCACTAATATCATAAATATGATAGTTTAGACATTAAATACTCAATCAAAAAATATGCTCCCAAAACTTCAGTCCGGCTTTCGTAAGGATTTACTTAAATAAGCTAAAATCATCTAACACTACACCGATAATATCCCGGACGTCAGTTGTAGGAGATTAAGATGGCTCTTAAATAGCTTAAAAACGGCAGAGTACCAGAAGAGGACAGAATTATAGCAGAACTTCTAAGAACGAATGGAAAACCGATACTAGTAGTCTCTCAAAAGTTATAATGATGATGATGATGATCCATTGATGGAAATCCTATTAAAAGGGTGACAGAGGTACGGAATCTTGGCAAAATCTGGAAAAAACTTTTCGTACGCTTTTATCATATATCTTCACGTACGCATGTATTACCTTATCTCAATTAACGAAATATGCTTCAAATGAATTTTAGAAAACACGACGAGAGCCTCTCCTTATCTGCTCACCACTCAAAAACATAAAACTGCGTCGATTAGTGGCACTTGTTGTGCCTCTACTACATCCTACTGCAAAAATTTATCGCCACGACTGCATGCGAAAACTATATATAAAGACTATCTATTATATATATATATATATATATATATATATATATATATATATATATATATATATATATATATATATATATATATATATATATATATATATATATATATATATATATATATATATATATATATATATACTTAATATACTAATTACTTTTCATTCCCCTATATGATTTTGGAAATTGTACTTGTACACACGAGCATAACTGTAATAATTCATTGTACTACAAGCCATGTCACTGTTATACATTGTTATTTTCTTTTGTTTTTGTTATTTAAGAAATATATATGATTATTGTTTTAATACTGTAAAGTAAACCGTAGTTGTCCGTGAGGTCACTACGTTGCTTGCACAGAATAACAACGCTGTTGCAGTAAATAAACTATCATGACATAATGCTGAGTGCTGCCCACGTCGACAAGTAATTATTTAAAAATAATACTTTTTTATATATATAAATGGATTTGATTCTATAATTAAGCTTTGTCATTTTTTTTTAAATCACGTGGAAACAGCTGAAAAGATTTGAATAAATGTTTGTAAATAGATAGACTAAATGAAAGACTACTTTCTATCGTAATTCACGCGTATTATGTTTGTAATATTATGTTTTAAATATTTTGACTAATGATGGATAAATATCTTAACAGATTTGGATGAAATTTGATAACAAGATTGACTACACTGTTACTTCGAGTAATAATTGATTGTGCCTCCAATTAAAACCACTTAGAAATTTCATAAAATTTATACCGTCACTCTAAATGATGTATATATAACACATTAAACTATAAAAAAGGCAACCTATCAGTAACACAATTAATATAAACATACAACAACTACTTTTTCAACAGTAAATTCCTGTGGGATCATTTATAATCGAATTCTATACATAAATTCACTCCTACTACATAAATCAGCAGATACTATTTTGTAAGATATTTTATTTACCGTTTTTAAGGGTCAATGCCGTGAGATACAGCAATAAACTGGTATAAATTATAAAGATAGTTAATATATATATCACATGGTAAGAAGTTCGGTCCTCGATATTGGTCATTATGTCAACGTAACGGTATCACATCAGCTCGCTAGTTTACGGTCAAGGCTCGTATGTGCAAAACAACACTTGTCCTGATATCGTGGAACAGATTAGACGTCCCTCAAGAAATTCAATTTGACCATATTAAATAAATATTTTTTCGTAAAGTAGTCGGTGAGTAATTAATTTTTATTTTTGTGTTCTAAATAAAAGGCGAAAATTATCTCACATATAAATTAATATCTTTATTTAAGATTTTGTTTAACAAAAAGGAAACTGCCCTTTTACTTTGACTACATTAATATAGAACTAACGCAGATATAAATTCTTTTGAATTAATAACAAAAGTTGGATTAGAGTTTCGAAAAGATATTGCGTAACGTACTTTTTTACAACCGGCTGAATTAGTGGTTTCTGAATTCAAAATTCAGAAACCACTAATTCAAAACATTGAAAATTCTTTGTAATGCCTGTGTATATATTCTTTTAGGAAAAATGATTAATCTAAAAAAGACTGTAATTATATTAATAGTTGCATCATTTTTTAATGCACTGAATGCAGAACTCGATGATGATTATATTACCATAGAAAGTGAAGATAATAACGAAATTGAATTTAAATCTAAATTAGATATCAATCCAAGGAAAGGAAAAATCCTTTGGCCTTATCCTGTGAACTATATGTCGGAAGATGAAACAAATGAGAAAAATAATTCTAGTCAGCACGCAGATGATAATAAAAAACGGGAACAGAGATTCTTGAGATTTTCTTACCCTCAAAGTCCTATCGTTGACCTGATGATGCAGACGGTTGGGATCAATTATTCCCCTCACACCAACGACCCTTTCGAATTTCTTCGGGACTCGTATCCATTACCTAAAGGTAAGAAAGTATTTCATTATAACTAAACATCTTTAACTGCTTTTTATGGGCATAAATTTTAATTAGGTATTATTATAGCCTTAATTTATGATTTACAATTACTAAATATTACGTTGTTTTAACGTTTTATTAAATTAACGAAATTATAATTAGAGAGAATATAAATCAATTAGGAATAAAATTTTCAAGGTATTTTATGATGCAAAAATAGATTATGTGTAGGTATTTACTTTATATTTCTATTTTACACGTATGTTATTATTTTATTTTCGAAATTCGTAATGATTGTAGATTTATCTTGTGTTTGAATAAATCAATCGAGTTTATTTTGTCTATTTTGAATACGAAAAACGCTAAAACTAATTTTCAAATTACCAGAGGGAGGTTTTGTACAAAAGTCGATTGCTTGGATACCTCTGTCCCATTCTTGTTTCTACCGCGAAGCAGTTATGTTTGCATGGCTGTGTTTCGGTTGGAAGGGTGGGATATGGCGTGAATTTCCAGGGTACAGAGGAATAACATCTGAGTCCTCAGGAATGGCAACGCATGGGGGGTATCATGGGCGAAACAGTATACTGTGTTATGTCCATGGTACTATTCATGTCTATAGGCGACGGATACCACTTTCCATCAGATGGGCCGGCAGCTTGTTTACTATTCTAAGTTGTATAAAAAAAATTAAATAATAGAATATAAATTTAACAGTAGAGAATAAATAATAAAATATCACAAATCTTCTTTTTATTAAATTATAATTTAATTAAACATGTAATACGAATATCTGAAAATTTAAAGAATCAACAATTAATAGTATAAAAGTATATATGTGAGAATATATATATATATATATATATATATATATATATATATATATATACAAGTAGTATCAACTAAGTTAATATAAATAGTATTTGACTTATATAAATACTTTACTCCAGATTTAGTTCAATATTTTGATGCTCTAGTGACCCATTTTTAGAGATATAACACCTAGACGATTATGAATACACAGATACGAGTATATTTGAATAAAATTCGGAAATATCGTTTACATATTTTTAAATAAATAATACCCGTATCTTTATTAGCGTAAAATATATGAGCAAAATATAATGTCATTTTATTATGTCCATAAAAAGTATCAGGATCTCTGAATTAGTTACATTTAAATTGGTTATTTAATATGATAGACATAATTATTTCCGTGTATTAATAATGTAAGATGTAGCATAATGGCAAACCGAAATGGCAATAACTAACGGAGGTTTAAATTATAACGTCCTAACAGTGATAACATAACGGGCGAATTAAGAACTGTTATTAAGAACGGTTTTCAACTGTTATTAAGAAAGATTAGAGAATGGTTCATAAAGTTCTTAATTTTATACAGATATAACAAAAGTATAAAATTTATTGCCAAGTTCAAGGTTATTTATTTTAATAAAATTTATCGTGTTGTTGAGAATTCAACAATGCTTACAGATGAATAGGTTAGCACAGGAAATAATAGTGTCCTGATCTAGACGCATTTAAAAGGGGCTGATTTCAATCGACTCAAGAACATAACTTTTAGAAGGAAATGGGAGAGACCTTTGCCCAGTAGTGGGATATCATAAGTTATTATTAGAATATTGTATATATAAACAAACCTTTTTAATAATGTATTTTTTTTTAATTTAAGGTTACAGCCAACCGCTAGATGAATACGATTACATAATAGTGGGAGCTGGTGCAGCAGGTTCGGTGCTCGCCTCTCGTCTAACTGAGGATAAACCCAGAGCTATGGTGCTTGTTTTGGAAGCTGGAAAACCTGAAATGTTGCTCTCTGATATTCCAGCATTAGCGCTTTATTTACAACGTACCGATTATACTTGGCAGTATTCTATGGAACACCAACCTGGCGTTTGTTTGGGTAATTATATATATACTGATTAAGTACTACTTACGTTATATATATTCATATACAAATAAAGTAAAAAAGGTGAAAAATATTTCTATTCATAAATTTTAAAGGCGACATTAGTTTTAATTAGATGGACTGTCACGCTTTTTGCTATTCCGAGTAGCATAGAAATAACAATATATGATTATTCGCATTACTTATAAAACGCAATGTCTCAAATTCAGTTCGTAAGCAAATAAAATGTTCTAGTTACTGTAGAATTATAGTAACTTTTAAAAAAATTAAGCTTAGTATATTTGCCTGAACTAAAAATAAAGGGGGGACATATGTAACAAGTATTATTTTCATCGCCAATAAAATAATAGATAAGCACTTTTTTATCTGGATCGATTCTAAATTCTTTCCCATATTAGTATATATTATTATAAAAAATTATGCTGATATCGAAAACTAACTGCTCATTGAAAAAAAACGCTATTTTTATAAAGCACTTTTCGATATTTGATTCCGATAGAGCCTTTATGATAAACAGTTACGTAACAACAACAACATCCAGCCATATAAATTGAAAGCAGAAAAAGAAGAGTGATTCTAGTATCCCTGGAGAGATAATAACAATGTAGAAGTAGAAAGAATTTAGTATAAACCAGTCACAGACGGTCATATAATCTTATTTTAATAATATAATAAAATTGTAACTAGACGACGTCTGCACGTGGGAGATATTTATTAAAATTATATGAGAAGTCTTTATAAGAACAAGAGAAGCCAAAACAATATTTATTCGAAATTTTATTTGTATGTCTGTATGTCGGCAACGCGCGCATGACATCTCCATCGTAAACTAACGACATAAACTACTATAATTCCGTTTACCATCAGACGGGCCAAATGCTTGTTTGCCACTATAGTAGTATAAAAATAAGTTTGTTCTAACATCACCCAAATATTTCTGTAATAAATTGAATGCAGTCTTCACGGTTGTGTTCCTGAAGATCTAACAAAAAATATAGTGTATGTATAATCTAATCTCGATATGCCATCCAGAAGTTATATTTTTCATTGGTTTTCTTACTTCTGAAATCCATGTGCATAAAGAAGAAGCTAGTATAACATAGGTTTTTGCATTCATTAACTCTACGGTCTTACCATAAAGTAACATATCGTGCTATATCTGTCCACATATTTTGGTAATATATTAAAATTATCTATTCTAGCTGTGTCTGTAGTCGCTCTAAGGTTACTATAGAAAATATACAGTACTACTACGATTCATCTATGATCGGCTTTATGCAAGTAGCTCAGTACCGTTCCTTATTGGGGTTTATAAGGGGAAGTCTATATTTAACTTTGTGCTAACTAACGAGCTGAAATGATAATGGAGGCATCAATATTATGACCATAGTAATTTTTATCGAACGAACTTCACTATAGTTTTAATCATCATATAAAATGTGTCCATGTTTTAATCACATAGAATAAACTATATTTTTTATTGATCTAAAATACTGCGATAAATAAAAAAATGAAAAATAATATCATAACCACGGATTTCAGGTAGCGAAGAGCAGCGGTGTTTCTGGCCACGCGGCAAAGCTGTAGGCGGTACTAGTGTTACTAACCTAATGTTGTATACCCGAGGACGTCCGCAAGACTGGGACAGAATTGCAGCTGATGGAAACTATGGCTGGTATGTTATCATATATACCCATAACATCTGACGATGTTATAAGGTAACAAACATAAAAAACCAACCGATTTGAGAACCTCTTTCTCTTTGAAGTCAGTTAAAAAACAAATTATAATACTAGTAATGGTTTGTTTATTTTCTTAGGTGCAGTAAAATATATTAAAAGTAAATTTGTATACCTGTACATTCATTGTCAATCGTGATTTAATTTTGTCATGTCTCTATAGAAGTTTTTATCGTATTAGTTATGCTTATTAATCATAGACACTTAATAAGTTCCATTTAAACAACTCCTGCACATTTCCTGATACTTTACATAAATTAAACAATCTAGTGCAGGTTTTTCTTTGTTTAGTTAGTTGGTATGACTTATATGAAATTACTGACATCTGCGTCATCCCTTTACTGAGTTATGTTAGCTATATTATACATATTTATTATTAATTAAATAGTTATACTGTATTTAAATAAAAAAAAAATCTAAATAATATGCATTTCCTGTAATGCTTTATTTGTAGTTTTATGATAATCAATAGATGGCACTTTTTTATACTAATAATTATATGAGTGTTCTTATTTAAAATACTTTTTACTTTCAGGTCATACAACGATGTTTTATATTATTATAAAAAATCTGAAAGAGCTGAACTGAAAAAGTATAAAAATGCTGAGTATCGTGGTCGCGAAGGTGAATTGACAGTCGAGAATATTCCATTTAAGTAAGTATTCCATTTAATTAAATAATTCAATAACAATACTTATTTAAATATTTTTTATTATATTGTTGAATCTTATACAGACTAAGAGCCCTGTTATGAGCTGAGCCAACGCCGACTGAACTACGTTATTTTATTAAATCAAAATCTTTTCGTGCCTACGGAAGAATAAATAGGTATCATCTAAGTTTAGCATCAGTCATTACTGGAGATAACAGGTAGTAAAAACACAAAAAGGTGCTCAACTACGTTTTTATCCTACCATGCCCATAACAAAAACTGTAGCTTTAATAAAATACCGTTGGTCTGACAGCGCTGACGTCTTGGTCTAATATTTATTATTACATAAAGAAAATATATATTTTAAAATATCAAATTATTTTAAAATGTTTATTTTTCATCGTATCATAACGATGCTCTAAAGTCCCCTGTACTGGGCAAATATTTATACCCAACTGTTGTGCCTTCTTATATAATAAAGAACATAGCGTTCTGTTATCATGCTGATCAGGCGAATAATTATTTTATTTTATATTTATTAAATTAACAAAAGAAATTATCTTACTATCAATATTAATACGTAAGTGATGTTTATAAATACACAACCAATACTGTTGTCTACGGAAGAAGATGGCTGTTATTTCGAGATAGACCAGCGCATGAAATTTCTGTCAGTCAGCGCGATACCTCTTTGAAAAAGCCCATTGCTTCAGGGCTCTATAGGCCCAGAGTCTAAATTCTAAACGCCGCAAATATTCCCAATTCACATTTGCTGCGCTTGATAGTCTCCTGGTGAGTTGCAGCGGCAACAGTCATCATGAACGTATTTGGAATACTTATATTATTATTATATACTTATATTGTTATTTATTTTCAGAACTGGGCTTGTAGAGGCATTTTTACAATCTGGAAGAGATTTTGGTCATCCTACTGTAGACTATAATGCTCCTGATCAATTTGGTTTCGGTTATGCTCAAACAACGACAAATAAAGGGCACAGATTAAGTTCAGCAAAAGCATTTCTTCATCCACATAAAAGGAGAAGAAATTTACACATCCTTTCAGAAACCAGAGCTACAAAAGTTTTAATTGAACCTCAAACAAAAAGGGCATATGCTGTAGAATATATTCGAAATGGTATTAAATATACGGCGCGTTGTCGAAGAGAAGTCGTGTTATCCGCAGGACCGATAGCCTCGCCGCAATTACTAATTTTATCTGGTGTGGGACCTAGAGAACATTTGGAAAATTTAGGTATTCCAGTAGTTGCTGATCTAAAAGTTGGAAGAACCCTTTATGACCATATTGCCTTCCCAGGAGTTATTTTCAAATTAAATACTACAAATGCGAGCCTTCTAGAACCTAAAGTTGCTACTCTGCCAAATTTAATGCAATGGCTTCAATTTGGTGATGGACTTTTAACCACTCCTGGTCTGATTGAAGCTTTAGGTTACATAAAAACGTCACAATCTGAAGATGTAGAACTTGTTCCGGATATTGCGTTGGTAAGCATGGGTGGTTCTATAACTGCAGATGCAGGAGGCGCTACCAGAAAAGCTTGGAGAATTTCAGATAAGACTTATTATACTGCTTTCGGACCTTTAAGTGGATCTGATACATGGTCGGCTGTTCCTTTACTCTTACAACCAAAATCTAAAGGATATCTTGAGCTTAGAGACAACAATCCGTACTCTTATCCAAAATTATATGGCAATTATTTAACAGATCCAAAAGACATGGCAACTTTGAAAGAGGCTGTTAAATATATTATTAGGCTAGGAGAATCTGAAGCTTTTAAGAAATATAATCCTAAGCTGTTTTTACCTGAGTATCCTACGTGTAAAAATCATGCACCAGGATCAGATTCATATTGGGAATGCGCTATAAGGACAATGTTAATTACAGTGCATCATCAAATAGCAACTTGTAAAATGGGCCCAGCAAGTGATCCTTATGCAGTCGTAGATCCTGAATTAAGAGTATACGGAATAGGTGGATTGAGAGTGGTAGATTCTAGTATTATTCCTAGACCAACCAGTGCGCATACTAATGCACCAGCTATAATGATAGGAGAAAAAGGGGCAGACTTGATTAAAAATACATGGTTAAATGTAGTATCATAAAATAGTGATAATATTAGTAGAATTATGTAAATTTATAATGTATAATAATAGTATATTAAAAGTATTATAAAAAATATTGTAATTGTATGACATTCACGGTTAATTATTTCGATTTTTACAGCAGAAAAAAACCTAAAGAGTTAATAATCATTATATAAAAAGTTACATAATATCTAGGTGCCATAATTTTCTTGAACTAACAAATCTAACTTAAAAATCTTAAAATAAATATTTCACAGCACATTTGAAAGGCACTCGTAAGTAATTGCCCAAAAATATAAGTCAAAATTGATAACAATTTTATTAATAGCTAGATTATATTTATAAAAAATAAAGTAATCACTGAGATAATCACTATTACTTTTGCACAAATTTTCGTGGATAAAACCGCGGAATAAAGTTAATATCTACTAGGTGTTTATTATTATTCATAATTCTCATTCAATTGACAAAATAGTCGTCCTAGTATACCTAGAATTTGTAAATATATAGGTTATTTTTCCTAAGACGAATAATCAAATAAACGGGCATCGTTTCATTATACTAATAGGAACAGGGCGTGAGAAAGGGTTTTGTGCCAAGTCACGTTACCCCAAATAATAAAATTAATGGTTCCTCTATACAGAGATCCATTACGGGCGAAAAGTATTCAGTATTTGTGTCAGTATTACCAAATTTCGTATAAAATAAGTTCCTACATTAACTTTTCATCACTGCTTCATTAAATTTTTAAGTCAATGCATGTAGAAAATTCATGAACAAGTAATTCTGGATCAATTCGATAAGGCACTTTTACTTCCTTTATTTCGTAAGTAGAGAATGTCATTTCACGTATCTCTCAATTTTACAATTAAGACAATCTGATGAAACTTGAAACAATGAAGAATGTTTAATGTAAAAACACTGGGATTAACTTACGTTTATATTTGACTAGTTTTCTCGTCTAAAATAATCGTAAGTTTTAAAAATGGAAAATTTTCATAATGTATATATATATATATAAAATTTAAACATTCCCTGAGAAAATTCTATATATATATATATATATATATATATATATATATATATATATATATATATATATATCTCAACAATATCGCCGTGTGGTCCTGGAATAAAATAGACCACCCATTCCTTTCCCGTGGGTGTCATTTTTTGGGATTGGGGTTGACTAAGGGAGGGCGAGTGATGGTCCTTATAAAACATCTCTAAAAGCCTAACTGCGGTCACCAATCTGCCTGTCAAGAATGGTACCTACTGGAAAAAGTCCCTTTATGGAGAAGACTTATGTTCAGCAGTGGACAGTTAACGACTGAAATAATAAAATAAATATACAAGTATGTGTTTATTCTTAACATGTGTAGTACATTACATATACTACAGTGATTAAGAATATGTACTAAACGCTTCGGATAAATTATGTTATATATTCTCCACTAGCGACCAAGGGCTTATATATGCTTATATAGGCCTTTCGTCATACTTATAAATATGCCAAAAAAGAACTCTATATTGATTAAAAAAATATATAAAAATCTATTCAGAATTAATTTAAGTGTTAAAAAACATTAATGGTCTACCAAAACAGATCTTCAAAGCAGTTTCTTTTAGTACAATTACACCTTCAAATCAACTCCTAGCAGCAGTATTTACGAACCGATATGATATCGTAAATTCATATTCCTTTTTAAAACACCCGCAGCATACTTCCAATTCATCTGGTGTTGCAGGTGTTCATAAGTGGCGGTAGTCACTTACCATTAAGTGAACCACATGCTCATTTGTCTAACATACGCAAATAAAAAATGCGAATAAGAACTACCTTTTTTGGAAGCTGCTTAAAAATAGAGATAACATGCTACGTTAATCCACTGTATATTTATGATGTAAATACCTGATTAAAACAAGGAGTAACTTTGCAAATATAATTTAATTTGTTCAAAGTTGGTTGCCAAATCGGATTTCGTTTATGCGTGTCAGTAATGTTATCAAACCAATGGTTTCCTCGCTTGCGATAATATACTCACGTTCAAAGACATAAGGTAGAAAATTTAACTTTTTAGTTAGAAAGTTAATGTTTCCAATGAGAATCAGAGGCAACGATAAAATCACGATGGACAGTAATCTTTAAAGCACCTTTAAACCGAAGCAATTTAAATGGTGGCCCACAAAAAACTTACTTGCATCAGGAAAAAGAAATTTGTACTTCTTATTTTAAGATACTTATTAGTTAATATTGAAAGTTGAATAAGAGGATTTCAGAGAAAATTGCATTATTATCCCTAGCTCCCCTCGCACCATATTGTGAAATTCGCAATTTATTATTCCAGTAACGCCTTCTGTAATGGTGAGCTGGTGTAATTTTACAATTTCTTTTCATTGCCGTTATAATTTTATAATACCTATTATACTTCCACTGGTAGTTGAGAAAGTTCATTGTAGTAGCTAATAGTGTTTGTAGGAAAATTTATACCTATATTAGTTATTTACGTGTATTATGTATTACAGTATCTACCTACGTTAATTAAACATACCATCGATCAAGTCTGGTAGTAAAACTGTATATACTAAGGTTATCCATTAAGTATACATAAAGTATAATTTCGTTACACTGTGTGCCAACTTATGTGTATATTATTGTATATATTGCGAATTAGCAATGATTTACACTCGTAAACGTAACACCGAAACATACAAGTACATTAAATACATCCAACTAGCTAGATACCATTCTATTGTGATTTTTTTTACTACTACTACACTACCCTAAATGAGGGAGGAAAAGAGATTGTTAGTAATAGGGATATTAGTAACAGACTCTATGTGTGAATACACTATATAGGTCGACCACGTAATCCCCTCTAAAAACCATCGTGGTTAATTCTTATAAATTCGCCACGATGGACCAACTGGCCTGGTTTCATTTATCTTCATAGTTTCATCCCTCACTAGTGCTCCGCTATTGTATACCGTTAGCAAGTGCACCATTCCATCTCCTTGTATAAAAAAAAAACACCCTAAATGTATTAGTTCACATTAAACAGAGTAGATACGCGGAGAGAGCTATTCGTACGATTTGACGAATCTACGCTTAGTTATCGGATGATGTTTAATGTAGGGCATAATATCTCTCACACGTGCGACGTAAAAAAAAGTAAAGAATAAAAATATTTTTACTTATATTTCAAGATTACCTAAATAGAAAATAAATAAACTACAAGCATTTTTGAATAGTCATCTTTTTATGATTCTACTTTTTATATATAGTTATTTACTAAACAAAATAAATTTTCAATTTAAATAGGTAAATAAACTAAAATCTGAAATGAAATTAGTTCTATTGTCAAATAAATAAACAAGAATCGAATGTTGAATCGAGTCTGAGGACTTGGACTCAAGTACTTTATCAAATTCGAGTAATTTTTCAAGACATTTTTGAAGCTTATTTCAAAAAAAGATAATAAATATGCAGTCATTGCAGAAAAAAATTAATGATATCAAAAAACAGAAACATAAAAATTTACAATTAACATGCAACTTGGATTCGTATACCTTAAGTCGGGGGAAAAGGAATTATTCGTAATGGGTTTTAAAAATTCCATTGCTAGCAAATATACCTTATCAAGTCGACATCCACGCAGATCACAATAGAAATCATTATTATTAATTCTTGCTAAATTTGTCACTATGAGACAACAGATCTGTTTTCGTTTTTATTTATCTCCTCTCACTAGTGCCCTGCCAACGTAATAACAACGTATAAATCTGTATTTTAATACCGTGTATAGAAATTCTGTATATTGTGTACTCGATTATCTGAGTATTTACTAGGTATTCGAGTCAATACTAGAGTCAGCCTTGGTATATCACTACCACCTTATATTATTTCAGACATATGGCTAGAATTATTCATTAAGGCTCAACCACGTGACAGAACTGAAAAGTACTGTTTTCATTCGTAGGCTGAGGTTTAGTGTAACGTATATTTAGTATGTATTTGTATATGGCTAAAAATATTTCAGTATAAGAATTACTGTTAAACCAAAAGAATAGAATAGAAACATTTATTGTCATACAATTACAATACAAAATACAAATAACATATACAAAAAGTGTCCCAGACCCGGCAAAAGGAACCGGCTCAGCTAATGCTGTGAGTGTCCCAGCGCAATGTGAACAGCTGCACAGCGCTGGTTTTCAGCCAGTCCCTCTCAAAAGTAACATTTAATGAATAATAGGCGACTAAAAAATTTAATTAGCGACATTAAAATATTTTCGCTTGTTTTTTTTTTTTAAATTGTTAGTTATATTATACTCGTAAATTATTATTTATGAGTATAATATCACTTATAATATTTTTTTCTTATAAAAATAGATTATTATTATTATTATTATATTCATAATAATTTATTTTTTCCAGCAAAGATAGTATATTAAGTATATCTCCTGTTAAGCAAAGATTCCTTGTGTTAGGAAATACTGTTCTTACATAACAATTTATTATTCATATTCTTATATTATTTTTATTTCATAATATTTACAATTTTACGTTTTTTATTAATCAACAAGAATTATTTATTTGTATAACCTTCTTTTTTCACAGAATAATATAAATTTTTTTATATATCCTACTAGCTGACCCCGTAAACGTTGTTTTACCACGTATTGCGAAATATAAAAATCCCAATTAAAATACAGTGGTTGATCGTAAAACGATGAAAATTTAAAGTTGTATGTATTTTTCAATGCTAAATTATAATAAAATAAAAATAAAAAAAATGACAAAAAAATTAAAAAAAATATTTAGGGGTGGGTCACCCTTATCATTGACGGGTATGAAAAATAGATGTTGGCCGATTCTCAGACCTACCCAATATGCACACAAAATTTCATAAATATCGGTAAAGCCGTTTCGAAGGAGTTTGATAACAAACACCGTGACACGAGAATTTTATATATTAGATATAGTATAAACCTATGTATATAAAATAATAAATAATATATACATATTAAAAAGAAAAAAATTATATGTGTTGATACATCATTTCTAAATAGCTTTTTAATATCAAATATCAGATTAGTACTACTAAAGTTTTTCTTCGCTGACGAAAACGAAGATCAATATCTTGATGTAGATTAGGTGACCCTT